TAAAGTAGAATTCTGAGGTTAAAGTAGAATTCTGAGGTAAAGTAGAATTCTGAGGTAAAGTAGAATTCTGAGGCAAAGTCGGAATTCTGAGGCAAAGTCGGAATTCTGAGGTTAAAGTAGAATTCTGAGGGGAAAGCCAGGATTCCGATATCAAACGAGGCCAGCTGATGGTAGTTTTATAATACCGGTAATTATTGACCTACTGCTGAATGAGTCAAAATTCGCAACAGTTTAAAAATTCTTCATGGTTTTTGGCAATAAGAACTTGAAATTAACATATCGGTCATAGTATGAAGTGAATATTTGAGCATTTTAGCACCTCAGCTAAAACAATACTAGTCAATTGGAACATGTTATTTAAAGGAAGCATACCAAAGATATGTATTTAAGTTCCTCATTCTTACTTTATTGATAGGATTTGTTCTTTGGTTGCCTGGCGAATGTCATGTTATATGGTTAAATGATTCCATGTATATATTGCTGATTTGATGAAAATATTGAATATTGAATATACTTTACAATAATTTTGCACACATATTATGAAGGTGAAATATTGCGATACTAGTAAGCAGTCATAAAATGAAATGGTGCTGAACAGAGCCATGAGAAATATTTATAGCTTCACTTTTAAGATAACAAACTTGTATTTTTTGCAATCAACTGGTTTTCCTTAGATAAAAAACTTGGAATCAATTTGACTGGATGATCTGCTGAACTGTAAAGTGCTTTGAGATGACATGTGTTGTGAATTGGCACTATATAAGTAAACTGAATTTAAAAGAAATATTTCCCTCTATAACCTAACCCTTCTCCTACAGTGTTTTCTAAAGCTGTTTTGCTGAAAGTTTCATGCATTTTTCTCCCCTTCTGTATCTTTGAAGAGTCCTCAGTCTGAAGTTAAATCCTGACAGAGATGTGGACCGAATCCACGGAAATGGGATTAATGCCATTGACATTGAAACAATTGAAGGGAGATAGTAAGTTTAATCAGTCATATTTTGCGTCCTGTTACACTACCAATAACACGCAGTTAAAATTCAAGAAACACTCTTATAAACACTCTTATTGTTACGCCTGAACATCTTACCATGACTTGGATTTGTAAAAATCTAATTACTATTCTGATAAGTAATACAGAAAAAGTGTTAAAATCTCAAAAGGGCAAAAATATTTCCAGCATGGAATAGGAAATGGAGGAATCAGACAGAAATAAGAGAGGACAAGTAAAGTAGATCTGGTTTCAAAAGAAGGGGAGATGGATGACAGATCCGCACTTCAGACATGGTGCGTAGAATGAGGTAAACCAGCCTGGATTTGTTTAATCTTCAACACAGCTTACTCTTATACTAGCTCAGAGGTCTGTAGAGCTTGACAGCAGACTAGTTTAGCTTTTTGGTTCAGCAGTGTTGGGAAAAGGATACATCTTAAAGTTTGGAGACCCCCGGTCCTTGAGGATTTGAGTGTGAGACCACAAGTTTAAAATCACCTGGACAAGAGAACAGGATGGAACGAAATTAGGCAGACAAATTAGTTTCTGAAGCCAGATTTACCATGCTCTGGTAGATACATATTTTTGGACAAAGTAATTTTTTTTATTTGTCAGTATGTTGTCTGGAGGAGCAGACGGAGTCATTGTCATCTATGACCTCGAGAACCACAGTGGAAAACAACAATACACCTGCAGGCCAGTCAGGACTGTTGGAAGGTAAATATCAGCTTATTGACTTCATCCACTAGAGGGCAGCATTCCCTCATTATGTGTCTAACCAACTCACAAGATTGTTTCAAGGATGGAAGACAACATATGAAGAAGTAGTTCATTATATTTCTAACTATTTTACTATCTTAACAGAATACATTCTTTATCATGGCCAATTGGGAGTTTTTCACAGTTTTTTGTTTTTTGCTTTTACAGGTCAAGCAGACACGTCCACAGATTCAGCGTGGAGACAGTCCAGTGGTATCCTTATGATACAGGGATGTTTGTCTCCAGTTCCTTTGATAAGACCATGAAAGTGTGGGACACAGAAACATTAAAAGTAAGTCATGTGTCCTAAAAATTTTATAAACCAAGTGTCTTCATACTGTATGAATGGAGTCAGACTACTTTTAATTTGACCAGGAACCTGGAAAACTCATTTGGGAAACAAAATGGAAGAATGAAAATTGGAAATTCCTCTGAAATTAATGGAAAGAACAACACATGAGGAAAAAACGATCTGAAGTCACCCAATAGTATGTGGGAGAAAGCGTTATGGTCTGATGAAACTCAGGCTATATGTTTTGCATAAAACAACTGGCCCCAGCTAGAACGCTGAAGCTTTAAAGGAGACTCACCCTTTATCAGGAGAATTGCTCAAAGGATAGATCAACATCAGCAAAGCTCATTGGGGTGATGTGAAGAGGATGGCATATTAACACAGCCTTATGTAGATTTAATTTTGTACAACGAAAAAATAAAGCCAAGATCATTAAAATATCACTATGCTTACAGGCTATTTCCTGAGTCCTGCAGTAAAATGTTAGTTATTGTTATTTATCAACAGTTCTTTCCTTTTTTCCATCCTCTGGAATTGTTTTTAACCGAGTTTTCCAGGTTATAGATCACATAAAAGTTTTGATTTGATTTATTTTGGTATATTGTAATATAATATATATTGTAATAACCCTTTAAAATCCTCTGTTTACCTGCATTAATAACCTTTCCTTCCCCCCTTCATCTCTGTTTCTGATTCTGTGCTTCATGCGTTCCACCCCTCTCTGCCACATCGTCCCATATGGCAGGCCCAGAGCTGTGCTAGAATTACACTGGCACCAGGGCTTGCTCCAGAGGTCGCAGAAGGGACAGAAAACAATCCACTAACCTTTGAATTAGTTTGCTGTGTTTGTGTCTGAGCCTCCGCACTAACACACGGTCTCTCCTCTAATAAATGTGTTGTGTGTTTTGCATTGTTGTTCACTTTGTCTGTATTTTTTTTTCTTTGTGCCACATTTATATGCAAACAGATCCTCCTCTGTATGTGTGTGAGTGAGTGAGTGTTTGTGCAACCCCTCCCCCCTCCTCCCACTGGCACAGTCCATGCTGGTGCTGGCACTCACTGACAGACGCAGCACAGAGAAGCTTTTTATGTTTGGAGAAGAATTTGCATTGTAACCACCAGTGGCTGCCGTCTCAGCACCGAGCTGCTGCACACTTTTTCCCTCAGATATTTTCTGCATCTTCCATTTTCTGATGATCTTAGCTCGGTGGTGGTGGTGGGGGGGGGGTCCTCTCTTGTTCTGGTGAAATTCAGCCATATTCAACTTTCTAGCTTCTGTTGTTAGTTTCATCTTATGATCAGATTTTCATGCCTTTAATATGCAAATAATCACTGATCGGACCATAAATTGCTCTTTGTTATCAGTTTTGTTTTTTTATGTTTTTATTTTTTTAGCCAGCTGAAGTGTTCGAGTTTGAGGGCAACGTCTACAGTCACCACTTATCACCCATTGCAAGGAAACACAGTCTCATTGCAGGTGCTTTTTTTTTTTTTTTCCTCCAGCCACTTGTTGCATGAAACGCCGCAGCCCGAGAATTTTCTTGGGCTTTTCTGTTTCATTGTGTTCACAAGCAAAACCAAGGACAGAAATCTCGTTAGGTTAGCAGTCTGTCATCTGTTTTTTTTTTTTTTTTTATTAATCAAGAAAAGTTCTGTGTGTCCCTACAAAACGGCACAGACTCAACCCTGCAGAACCTCTAGCTGTAGAATGACATGTGTCTTCAGGGGACAGAATAGGGTCAGAAACTGATTACATATGAGCGGACTTCAGCAGAGAAGCATTGTTGGAATCTAGGTGTTCCCAGGTAATGCAGCAGGACCAACAGGTTGATCAGGCCTGCTGAGTTTAACCTCCTACAAACATAGATAAGTTCTCTGTTAAATGCAGAAACCAGTCCTTTCAGCTTTCTTGCTGCTTCTTACCAGAGGCAAGACACATCTCCTTCCTTCTCAGACATACTTGTCAAACAGGTCGGATGCATCCCCCACAGTTTTGATTTGTTTCCGTATGAGCCAAGGCTTTTAAGGGAAACTTCCTGAAAAGCATCTGGATCTTAGTTATGTACTATATTTTACCAATTCAGATTTTAGCAGACATCTGGAGCAGATTGTGAACAATCTACACTTCCATCTTTTATGACTTTATAGGATGAGGATATGTGATCCCACATCTTATCAGAAGTTTTTCAGTTTTACCAATGTATGTCACTTGTTCTTTCTTTGCCTCTTGCAAGATATACTGATAATTTACCAGAATATTCTGACAAGCTCTTTACATAAAGGTAACTGATGAATGATAGGAGGAGGAAAGGGTAAATTGAACCAGTTTAAATAAACTGATTATTATCATTTGTTTTGAGGTTTGTGCTTATCTTGTATTTCTCTTCTTTCACTGTTTTTATTTTGAGAAATATCTGTGTCTGTTTGTGATTTCAGTCGGCACCAAAAACCCTAAAATCCAACTGTGTGACCTGAAATCGGGCTCACGGATCCACGTTCTTCAGGGTTTGTTCTCTTCTACAATAAATTTGCCAATTTCAAAAGTAACCCATATTTTCTTTGTTTAAATGAATTTCAAGATATATATTTTTTTGGTTTTACTTCCTCTTTTAGAGATTTTTTTTTTAAATGCAAATTCAGATACCAATTATTCTGGCATCAGTCTAACCGATCTCACATGTGTTGCTGATTTTCTATTATTTGGAAGGCTGATTCTTGAAGCAGATATTGCTTTATCTTCTTCCATTTACATGATTAAAAATGACACCATAGCAACTGCCACACAAGTCTTGATTACAACATATAAGAAACATTTATTAACAAAACATTACCAATAGATTGATCTCAAGGCATAGGCCGCTGAACGTACTAATTAAATGGCAAATGCTTGCATGTATTAGTTGATCTCGATACATGGAGAGAAAGAAAGAAGAATATTGGCCTAAAGTATCAGCAGTCCTCTATCTATGTATCAGTGTTTTTCTGTCCTTCACACAGCACAACAACTAGAGCTCCTATAACAGACTGGGTCTTCTTAAGAAGATAAATTTTTACCTGCAGCATTAAACACAATAATTTGATTGGACTTCTTTTTTGGGTCAAATATATCTAAATGTAACTGAATCTAATGCTAATCATGTGATTGAGGGGATTTACAGTGGGGGAAATAAGTATTTGACCCCTTGCTGATTTTGCAGGTTTGCCCACGTACAAAGAATGTAACAATCTATAATTTTATTCATATGTACATTCTGACAGTGAAAGACAGAATCCCAAAGAAAATTCCAGAAAATCACATCATATGAATTTATTAAAATTGATAGCCATCTGATGAGGAAAAACAAGTGTTTGACCCCCTGGACAAACAGCATGTTAATATTTTGTAGAAAAGCCATTATTGGCCAGCACAGATGTCAAACGGTTTTTATAGTTGGTGACAAGGTTTGTGCACATTACAGCAGGGATGTTGGCCCACTCCTCCCTGCAGACAGCCTCCAAATCATTCAGGTTCCGAGGTTGTCGTCTGGCAACTCAAATTTTAAGCTCCCTCCAAAGATTTTCAATTGGATTCAGGTCTAGAGACAGGCTAGGCCACTCCAGAACCTTGATGTGCTTCTTCTTCAGCCACTCTTTTGTTGCTTTGGCGGTGTGCTTAGGGTCGTTGTGGTGCTGAAACACCCATCCTCAACCCATCTTCAGCTCTCTCATTGAGAGAAGGAGATGTTGGTCCAGAATTCCACAATACATGGCCCGTCCATCCTCCCCTCGATAGAGTTGTCCCGTCCCATTGGCTGAAAGCACCCCCAAAGCATGATGTTGCCACCACCATGCTTGACGGTGGGGATGGTGTTCTTTGGGTTGTACTCTGTGTTCTTTGCCCTCCAAACACGACGAGTTGATTTGAGACCAAAAAGTTCTATTTTGGTCTCATCTGACCACATCACCTTCTTCCAGGCCTCTTCTGAGTCGTCCAGGTGGTGAATGGCAAACTTCATGCAGGCCTGTACATGTTTCTTCTTGAGCAGGGGGACCTTGCGTGCGCTGCAGGATTTCAATCCATGACGACGTAGTGTGTTAGCAACCGTTTCTTTTGTAACTGTGATCCCCGCTGCCTTCAGTTGATTCATCAGTTCCCCCCTTGTGGTTTTGGGCTGATTCCTCAACATTCGCATCATCAGGGACACCCCACGAGGCGAGATCTTGTGTGGAGGCCCAGACCGAGGGAGGTTGGGGGTGGTGTGGTGCTTCTTCCATTTCCTGATAACTGCACCGACAGTTGATCTTTTCTCTCCAAGTTGCTTTCCGATTCACTTGTAGCCCATCCCAGCCTTGTGCAGATCAACAATCTTGTCCCTGATGTCCGTAGAAAGCTCTTTGGTCTTGCCCATGGTGGTGATGTTGGATTCTGGTTGTTTGGGTGTTGACAGGTGTCTTTTTATACAGGAAACAAGGTGAGGCAGGTGTATTTGATGTAGATAATTGGTTGGGATTTGGGCTGTGTCTTCAAGAAAGACTAACTGGCTTGTAGGAGCCAGAATACTTGCTGTTTGGTAGGGGGTCAAACACTTTTCCTCATCAGATGGTTATCAATTTTAATAAATTCATATGATGTGATTTTCTGGAATTTTCTTTGGGATTCTGTCTTTCACTGTTAGAATGTACATATGATTAAAATTATAGATCGTTGCATTCTTTGTAAGTGGGCAAACCTGCAATATCAGCAAGGGGTCAAATACTTATTTCCCCCACTGTAAACACAATTTGGATTGCATCAGATTTTATGTATTTAGATATAAAGGAACTGTGTCTCATAAACTGCCTTGAAATAAAGTACAGATAAATCAAACTGTATCAGAATATATAGAGTATGTCTTGCAAAAATATGCTTTTAAAATAATTTACCTTTGTCAAAGACAGGCTCTGTGTTTGCACCTTGAAGCTCTATCTCTCTGGTTCTTTTTCCTGAAAATAGATCACTTAGGACAAACTCTTTCAATAACACTTCATAACTTATATGTATTAAATAACCATGAGACATGACAACAGATTCTGATAGCAGCTATAATCTTACTCAGATCAGAGACGTTACTTAGATTTACAGAAGACAGCTGCTCACCTCTCAGGAATTGGCGACGATTAACAGTTAAAAAGGCATTTTATACATTACATCATACACGTTAGCAGATGAATAGACATCCATGGCTCCAGCCTTATCAAAATATTACGCTTTGTTCTTAGCTGAAGCACACCGCTCTCATTCCCTTTTCCAAATATTTGCCACGTACAGAATGAAGATTATAACTGTGTATCCGGACAGAGGAACTGTCTTAATTAAATAAACCATTGTGGAAAACATCAGTTCCGACACGCAACAGGCAGCTAATATTAAGGTCTAATAAACTCACACATAATCAATGATAATTATCCTAACAATTCCCCCTGAAAAGGTGATGTTTTCAATGTCACCTTTAGACAAACCCATTAATGTCTGTTCATGACCAGGATAATAAAATAGCAGAAAACTTTAAGCGTTGTTTCTTTCATCATGGAATCATGGAATAAATCAAAAGTCCCCCTGATGTAGCATTAATCAGGGATCAAAAGTAATCACAGTCAAGACTTCACAGACCGTATGTTGTCACGGTTTCAGCATTTAAATACAATTTGGGTTTCATCTAATCAAAGGAAGGCTGTTATAGTTTCCTATGCGCACATTATTTGAATTTACCTTAGACTAGGGAACCTAAGCCTATAACTCTAATAAGGTCAAATTCATCTACTCTCACTCCCACCTGGAGGCCTCCTACAGTAAGTTTGACCGCTCAACATGAATAAACCGTCCAAATTTACCAATCGTAGTTTAAATCTGAAAAAATATCCAGTTGCAACATTGATGCAAGCTAAGCAGCCTACAGTCTTGTCTGTTGTAATGTCATAAACTCATAATCACAAATAGCAAAAAAATAAATACATAAATAAATAATAATGTTTTGGAAAAAAAAATTTGGGACTCCTGGAACAAAATCTATGCTTCATCAGCCAGTGTTTCTTCGTTTGAGTTTATTAGTGGAAAATATGCTGTTTCTTTAATTTTGCACACCCCAAAAGGTCCAAAACATGAACCTATTTTACTTGTTTTTTAGTAACTATTTATCTTGGATTTGTTTGTGCCTTTGTGACCTTTATTGGAGAATAGGCAAGAAGATCAGAGAGCAGATGGAGCAGAGTTGATAGTTTTGAATGAAAACCACACTTAAGGTTAACTGATGACTTGTCTCTACTTTTATGAATGTGTTTTTTGTTCCTTTAGAAACATAAACTAAATGCAGCATCATTTATATTGGGCTTTAAAGAAGTCACCTCGGGTGCAATTTTACATTTTAAAAAGAAAGAAGGCGTTCTTTTGTTTATGGGAGGAACCACCAGGGAAAAGCTGGGCCAAATTCATGACCATAAACCTGAGGTCATGAAACCGAGTCTTTGTTTTATTTGTTTTATGCCTATTAACCCATAAAAAAGCACTTCACTTTCTCTGATAGGGGCAGTTGTTTAGTTTTTTTAGTGCAAATCCATTTAGGTTAAAATGTCAAATTCTGTTCTCTAGAAACCAGAGGAAGCTTTCAAACTGACCACTGTGTGGTTTTATCCATACCTATGTGTTCACCTATATTATATATGTATGTCCAGGTCACAGAGCAGAAGTTCTGTCCGTGCGATGGTCGCCAAGATACGAGTATATCTTAGCCACTGCCAGGTAAGCCCTACTTGCAGCGGTATTTCGTTTTTTAAATTAGCCTAATTTTCTGTCTGAGCATCATAAGGACAATGCTTGTTTACATCTGTGAGATCTGCACCATGTTTTGGCCCAGCAGACTGTGGCATATCACATCCCAGCCATCTGGCCACATTTAGATTCAAGGATAATGCTAACACAGACAAGCAATGTGGTGGTTTGGTGGCACTGTCAGTTTAGCATATGGTGGTTACAGTCCCCACCTATTTTCATGCTACATTAGACCTGCTAATTAACCCACTGGGATCAGTGCGCCTCTGCCTTTGGACTGTGGTTTGAAGTGATTGTCAGAACTCCTGGCACACCAAGGGGCCTAGAGTAATGCACAGCATCGTTCAGAGGCAGCGTGGTAATTCCCCACAGAAAATGGACCTTATAAAAACAACAATTAGGTTCTACACACTTTTATAAATACCCTTAGTACCTGAAGTTCAGTTACCAGACAGAATGTTTAAGTTCAGTATAGGAGAAAGTAAATAATGCCTTTCATTCCTTCTTCCAAGTGCAGACAGTAAGGTGAAGGTTTGGGACGTGCGCCGAGCTTCAGGTAGTCTTTTTACTTTGGATCAACATAATGGAGAGAAGTCAAAGGCCTCCTCTGAAGCAGGTAATGTCACTTTTCCACTTTTTTTTATTATTTCGATTTGTTTTAGCTAATAAACCTTCTAGTTTTATCAGAGCTATTTACTCATTTTAGTCATAAATGTTGTAATATTTCATATTTATATATTATTCAAACCAAGTACAGTTTGAACAAAAGAAAAAAAGAAACCCTGTATTGTTGTTCTGTCTAGTAAACACAGCCCATAACGGCAGAGTGAATGGCCTTTGCTTTACATCTGATGGCCTCTACCTTTTAACCACCGGGACAGATGACCGCATGAGACTATGGAATAGTGCTACGGGGGAAAATACGCTGGTAAGGTTCAGGCACCTTGACTTTGTCCTTGTAACATACCTCCATTTTCATTTTAAAGATACAGCTGCAAAAAGAAAAAACCTGTTTCACAGGCCTTTAACTGAACACCTTCTCGAAAGATCTCCAATAAACAAGTAAACATGTGCAAAACATGCTGAATTCCTTTCATGTATGTGGTTTAGAGCAGGAGAACCTGGCCAAACTACAGCTTACCCTGATTTAAACTTATTATTTAAACTTCTTTAAGGGTAACATGTCAAACCTCAGTGATGATTATGTAATAGGACAGCCTGGACCACATTAGCCAGATGTCAAAAGAGTGAATCATGCAAGTTCAAGGTGTTCAATCTGACCGAATAAACAAACTGGTGATGATGTAATGTGCTAAAAGATTTTTTTTCTCTCTCTGTATTTTATACGTTAACATTTTAGAAGTAATGACAAGCGTTTCATCTAAGCGGTGTGTAATATTTCATTTTTTCTACATGCATTCAGTTTGCTTTTATTGTCTCTGTCAGGTAAATTATGGGAAGGTCTGCAACGAGAGTCGTAAACGGCTTCAGTTCTCCGTGTCTCACGGCTGCAGCCCAGAGTTTGTGTTTGTGCCATGCGGCAGCTCAGTGGCCGTCTACACTCTCCACACAGGAGAGCTGATCACTATGCTCAGGGGTCACTACAACAACGTGGACTGCTGCGAGTTCCACCCAGACTACCAGGTGAGAGGCATCATAGTGACAATGGTCCCTGCTATTAAACATGCTGTATTTCCACTTATTCTATCCTTTCTATCTTGTGAATTCACGTCAGATTATCCACTTATTGTATAGAAACATGTCATCTCCTCTGATAGCTCCACTGCCACTCCCTCTGTAAGATAAGATGGCTCTGTCAACATTTGCATCCATAAATTTAAATGCAGGTGTTCCTGTTGAGCCAAGGAAGCAGTTACTCCCTGGTTACATGCTGTTAATGCTGCTCCTCAATGTGGTTTAATTAATAATTCCTCTGTAATCAGCGGCTGGACTATGAGAAGTGTCAGTACTTTAGTTTTCCCTTTTTTTAGTAACACTAAAACAGTCTGCATGTGTTATCTTTAGGAGGTATTAACCCAATACGAAAATGGCAGAAATTACGCATACTTTTCGGACTTATTATATAGTATGGAATATAATAAAAGGCTTGATCAAGTGATGTAACTCAAAAAAAAGGTTGTCAACAATAGGTATGAGAACAACAGCTACTTATACCATAAACTCAAAGAAAAGCAGTGTTTCTATCAGCATGAAAAGCTGCAGAGGGCAGCTGTATTCATGGATGTGACCATCCCAAATGATGGAAACTTCAGGAAAATAGAAACTGGAGAAATACCAAAGTTTCAGGGAAACACTAGAAAGAGCCTGGAAGGTGAAGGGAACTGTAGTGCCCATTGTCACCAGAGCACTGGGCGAGAAGGAAGCAACCCACCAGAATTGAATTTTTCCTTCTTCCTCTTTTTTTTCTGACTCCCTGGCTGTGTCCGAACGTCCGCCCTGATCACTATATAGGGCACGATATAGTGCCTACATCATTTTAAATGAGTGTCCAAATGTCCAGTGGATAAAAGAGTAGTGGACTCCAAATTTCCCACAATGCACCTTGAAAAGTAGTGATCATCCATGGTCACTAGACGAGCAGATATATCCCAGAGTGCATTGCAAGGTATCTCCTTGCAAAGCATCATGGGATTTGTTGTGGCAGCAACAAATAATAGAAATGCTGCATGCGGTGTGTGAGGAGGCAGAGTTACGTGACCGATGGGGAGCGAAAAGTAGTAATCATCCGTCCGTATGGTCAGTTAACTGAGTTCACTATAAAGTCCACTATATAGCCCCCTGCTCTATATAGTGATTGAGGGATTTAGGGGTTAGGATGAACGCTTGGATACATCCCATGTTTCCTTTTTTTCCTTTTGTAGCATCCTTCCTTTCTTGTTTTCCCCTTTAGTCCTTATAGGTTCATTTCACCCCTTAATTCTCTCCTTCTGTTTTTTCCCTTTGTCGTCCCTCCCCTTCTTGTGTCCCTTATTCCTCACCTGTGTTATCCTTTCCATTTCCTTATTTTTCCTACTATCCTTCCTGCCTCCCTTATATATTTTTTGTCTGTGATCTATTTTCTTGATTCACATTTGAAGACTGTTAACTGTAGGAATACATTTCCCATATTTAATTTTTTCATATAAAATTTTCAATGTATTTATAAAGTGGGCAAACATGTATAAGAGGGCTCTGGAACTGGAATAGTTTCATGAATAGGAATATTTCACTGTATATTTGGGATTAATATAAAGTTAAAGACAGTTTTCTGCTGATATTTTAGTACTTTAGGTGTAAGCAAAGTGTTTTTTGAAAGTGAACATGTTAGACCATTTATGTAGACATGTTACACAACTAGGCTGCATTTAAACGTTGAAAAAATGTAACCATATCAAAGCAGCACTTGTTGTAAGCTGGTTATTCGATTTGAAGCCAAGTATATTTTGCTTATAAAGTGTGATGGTAGTTCTCCTCCTTCCCTTTTCTCAGTTTGCTGTCTTGATGCCAACAGGTCTATCTATGAGAGGACTTAAAGGGGAGGAAGGCAGATTGTTGATAAATTCATTCTATCCTTATTAGGTAGTTTGCACATCCGGTGACACAAACATTTTCAGTCTGTGACAAACAGTAAGAATGTGGTTTGGCAGCTTGTCACCTCAAAGTTCCAGGAAAGGACGCTCAGTCCTGGAAACGTGCTTTTCTTTTTTTTGCTCCCTATTTCAGTTATGAAGAACGTAATCAATCCCAAACGTCTCTCAGGAGACAACTTGCTTTAAATAGACTGTTTTATATTGTTTAATTGCTGCACACTTGGTCCAAAATACATACATCAAGGGCAGATGCCATTAGAAAGCCAATGTTTCCTTTTACTTGATGGTAATTATGATGAAAAACTAAATAGATGATTTTTGTGTGCAGGAGCTGTACAGTGGTGGGAAAGATGGTAACCTGCTGGCATGGGTTCCTGTCGTCCGTAATCCAGATGTGGAAGAAGACTCAAAGGATGAGAAAAGGGTAAAGCAAAGTAAAACTACATTTGATACCAGAAAATAAGGGCAAAGGCTAAAACAGAGCTTTTTTAATGAATGCATTTGCTTTCATTATGTACAAGAACAGAGAATTGAGCAAAATGGAAAATCTCCACCCTTTTAAAGGAGAGGCTGCAGGTCTGCTTTCAAAGCTCAGATGAGAAGTCTCAAACTGGTTTTTCCCACTTTTGAATGCTCTCCCTCTTATTTGTCATTGAAAAACAGGTCTATCCATTTAAACCTCAGATGTTTGTAATGGAAAAACAAAACCCCGATAGTGTCACATTTATTTATTACACAAAATAACTGAATTCACTGTGAGGACAGAATGTCAATTAGCCCCTTAGCTGACAACAGGAAGCCCCTCAGTTTGTACAACTTACTAGACTTGATGTCGTACAGTTTTTGTTACTGATTTAAAAAAAAAAAAAAAAAAGACCATAAAACTGGGATAATATTACTGGCATCATGGTCTTGTATTCCTGTTTCTTTACCATGTATTCAATTGCAACTTAAAATTTCATCCCAAAAAAGTCAGCCACGCTTATCTAAAGTTTGATCGCGTATATTTTTAGACTAACTTGTTTGGCTTTAAATGCATTCCTTATTTGGTATTATAAAATGTTCAGTTCGATAATTATTTTCCTAATAATACTATTTAGACATGACAGCATAGGAGCAAGGTTTCTTTTTAGGTTCAGAAATGTTCTGAGGTGGTTTTGCTGTCCTGGTTAAAGGACTGATTACAGGTATGCCTCATCCTGGGAATCTGAAGTATGTTTTCTCAGCGTTAATTGGAACATGGTGACAATCGTTTACCTAATTCCTAATAGCTTTGTCAATCAAATAAGTTGTGGTTACAGGTGTGTTTTACTCTGTATAACCACATGTGTTCCTAATTTGGGCATGCATTTCCTGTTTTGTTTTCTGTAATGAATCTCGTAGTAGAAATGACTCTACTTTTTCATGCAAAGCTGAGGTGGATGTTTGAATTTCTCGTAGGGTGCTGCTGGCCTTCCTGCTGTGAACCCCGCCTTTCAAGACACCTGGAGCAGTGATGAAGATTAATATAGAAGATCAGAATGTGTGGACAGACTAAGCATGGGAAACCATCTTATATCTATTATACCTAATTAAAGCTGATGGCTGTAAGCAATTAATTTTTTGTTTTGGTTTATTTAAGCTGCTGCTATCAATCTTCCACGGCAGAGATGTAGACTTTATACCCTTAGAAATATGTGAATAACTGTATGTTTTGTTTAATGAAAAATCACTTATCATGTTTATAAACATTTTTACATGAAATAATGTTTTTTTTTTTTTTTTTATTTAAGATGAACACATAGAAACCTTTAGTAAGTATGGTTATATTCCCACATTTCTACTTGAATAAATATCTTGAGTCTTGTTTATATTTCTGTGTTTCAGCTTTTTGTATTATGTGTAAATGTACTTACACCCCTTTAATTCTTTCTTACTTAAAACCATCAACTCCGATGTATTTACTTGAGATTGAATATAATACACCTACTTGAGAGGTGCTTAACTGGAGAGGAAGGGGAATAATACATATTTGAAAAAAAAATCCCTAAGCACAGATTGTATTTTTCTTCTTTGGAAGATAAATTTCAGATATTTCATTGGGTTTAGGTCTGAACTTTGAATTGACCATATATGAATATGACTTTGCTGAAGAAGAGCATACTGACCAAATGATGCCGCCACTACCGTGTTTCACTGCTGCATGTAGGTAGATGTAGCGTGTTAAATACTTTACACGTTTAGAAAGTTTAGTTTTACTATCCATTGACAGGAGCACCTCTTATATGTATTTGCCATATCTCCTACATGTCTTCAGCAGTAATTTAGTTGTTGGGATAGATCACAGAGCTGTATGTTCACCAAGGTGAGACTGACCAGGAAATTTGGGCGATTGGAATTTCTCCAGAGTTTGAATCAGACTTTGATCAGTCCCTAAACAAAAACATGAGTAATTATATGAATCTGGCTTCCATACGTAGGTGTAGCAACCAAGGTCAACATGCTCCATCTTTATCAGGAGCTATGGCTGGGTGGGGGTTGTCAGGGCCAGGCTCATGGTCTAATTCTTCTACACACACATGCACCAGATGTGTCCCATGGCTACAGATACTTCCTCCTACCTATCCCTATTTCCATACTGCTTCCCTACCACCTCCTGTCCCCATTCCTTTGTGCTATTGTTTTGAAAACTCACACTTTCCCTGCAAGGACACTGTATAGTTTTTATAAATCTAATATGCTAATATTATCTTCCTAAGGCAAAGGCCGTGGCTTTCAATGGCTCCAGCCTCAGGAACTGTCCCCCAGTGTTTGTTGAAGTGTTTCTCTTGGATGGGACGTTCAGGAAAAGATTTTGTTGTGCAAAGTAGTCT